AGAGGGAGAGAGACTGAGAGAGAGAGAGAGAAAAAAAAGAGAGGGAAAGGGGCTGGTGTTATTTTAAAAAGTGCGCGGCCAATGGCTATAAAACCATGGAAAAAAATATAATGAATATTATTTTAAAGGGTTTGATGGAAGGGAAGGGAGGGGTAGATTATGAAATGAAAGTTGGCTAAGGGGGGGGGGGGTGAATGATTGCAAAAAGCCTTCAAATCAAGCGCCCAATCACGCTATTCCTCATCATAATAATAAAAACAACAAACATAACATCAAAATGCTCACGATCACTAAAAGAACGTTGATAAATACCATTCATAAACACTTGCCTTATCTCATTCAACATAATGCCGAAGTATCACTTTTCATGCCACAATAAAAATATACTTTTGTAAAATGAATACATTAATCTTCTAATCTAGCAAAATAGTGTTGCTGTAATCAATTTCTATACCTGGCATTTAAGCCTGGACAATTCTCAGTACTAAAATGATGTTCAAAGTTTGTAGATGATGATAAACTGTTGATGATTTATAAATAATGTACATGTAACTGAATAAATCTGAAAAAAGACAAGAAGAAAATATTGAATTACTATTGGTCCATAAGTGCTTCATGAAAACTACCAAAGGAAAAGAAAAGAGATACAAAATGAAAACCATAATTGATAAATTTAAAAACTAATACTGAATAATTGGTCACTCTTTAGGAGGGAGATCAAAATTTATTTCAAATTATTTCGCCGGAGAAAGCAGACAATTTGGTTAAATCAATCGAAATTGGTCCAGGGCAACTCATAATTGGTGATACAGCGATTGCAAACACGATTTGGGCTTTTGATTGACGAATACATCTAGATTATTCTCGACACGACAGTGAAATTGCAAAACCTTTTTTTCATTTGCTCAGGTCAAATTCTTTGGCGCAAATTGATGTTTTTAGGAATTACGCTACTCTCAATTCATTTCCCCGTGAAGATGAAATGTATAGCACTGAGAAAAAAATAGCAAAGCAAATAATAATAATGAACAAAATCAAGAGTAAAAAATTAACAAATAAAAACAACGGAAGTGAAACCAAAAAAAATTGAGGTAGGGAAATGTATGATAACTTTACAAAATATAATAACACAATGTCATATCAACTAAAATGAGTGATAGAGACTTCTTTAGGTGAGAATCTATGATAAAATATTGAAAATAGACCTTAAATATAAACACAAGGGTTTCAATATTTATCTATTAGACGTATAGATGCAAAAGAAGAGTTACAAAATGCAAATCTTTTTGCGCAATACTTACAGCTGCGAATTCGGTACAAAAATTAACATTATTCTCATAATATCTATCATGAGACTTTAAAAACTTTCAAAATGTACTTCAATTTAGTAAAAACAGGATGATTAAAAAAAACGGACGACTTCTATTGCACGGAATCGTTTAAATGGAAAGAAAGAAAAGGAAAATGGACATTAACTTACAATTCCGGTTATAAGATCTCAAAAAGAAAGGAATGAATACACATAGCATTGCATAATTAATCTTAATAATATTAGTTTCACTACATGGACGGGTTACAATCAAGAATCGCTCTCATGGAATTTGGGACATGATTTTTTCTTTATTTGAATTATTGCCTTACTAAAATAACGCAATGATTTAATAGCTAGATTGGAGTTTAACGCATAGATAAGACCATGTGTTGATCTATGGCATCGATAAAACTCGGTTCAATTTCATATAAATTGATCCCAATACAAACTACAGTCATTTCTTTAAACAACCCGATATTATTAATAAAGACTAAATGGAAGACATCGAGATGACTTATTACGTCTTTAAATGATGATCTTCCTCACACACTATGTTATTTCACAAGCATTTCGGGTGACCAAAATGCCTTGGTGTTTATGCAGCTTAAGATAAATAAATAATAATTTTCTGCAGCTATTTCATGCCAGATTGCATTGGGATTTGTATTAAGATAAAAACAACATTTGTTTCCAAACACGCCTCCGTGGATTTAAAGTTTTACCAGTGGTCTTAAACCCATTCTTCCTAAAACGTGTCTCCAAAACTAAGTTCTGGCGCTGCTATTGGTCCAAATGATGAACCACGTGACGCATGACGTATCGCGTATTCCCGGTGGTGGCGCCACGTTTCACTTCATTCTAATTTCACGTGCGCTTCACATAGAACCGTGAGTACCATGAAACTTCGAGAATCATTCTGTTCCTTTCAACCTATGAGCGTTCTGCATTTAGACTCTGCTGCCACCATTGATGAGTTAACTATTTTATCCTGGAAGACAACAAGAAAAATCACACTTTTTGGTGATAACAGGGTCGGAACACCCTTCCTCAAGGCAATCTTAGATCCGCGGGGAAAGACTGGAAACGGTCACCGCTATCAACCGTCGCGTTCAAAGTCTGATAGGTATAGCGATGCTGATTTCAAATCATCTCTAGTCACGTGAAAAGGTGTCCGTGTGACTATTGCAGTCCCTCTATCATTGGAAGAATCCGCCGTGGAAGGTGATGGGACATGACATTGTCTCGGGGATATTTGCCCGTGCTATTTCATCTAATGTCTTAGCGTCAAGTACCAGTAGGAATGCCCTTTGTGTTTCGCTGCTGATTACTGTTGAAACTAAAACACCTGTCGTGACAAAGACAAAAAAGAGAAAAATCCACCATAAGCAACTAGAATCAACTAGCTTACACATTGTCATTCTATCTTTCAAATTTGGGTCGGACTGATGAAATACAGGGCATGTAAAAATGGAAAACAAAAATAAACATGTGAACTCTATATATTTATTAAAGCTAATCTTGAGCTCTCGTATGGGAATCGTAGGTTCAGAGAACATGGCTATAAGTAATTCTGGATTGTTTATCCTGCAGTACATTGATTGTTTAAACCAGTAAAATAAAAATAATTACATCAATTTCCTTATCTTTCTATGCTCATTACTTAGTCCTTATACATTTTCTAACAAAATCGTTTGGCACATGTCATTTATTAGTAATCTTCAACATTCATTGTAAGTTTTGTTGGATTGTGTGAGAAATTATTTTCTATCGTTACCATAACTCAAGTTTATCTTTAAGCAGGGCCTATTCCATGATGAAATGTCTAGATGACTTACCCTCATCCTCGTCCACAGCATCTGGTGCCCCAACAAAGATCGGCTCTGACGGATAGTGATTCGGTCTGTGCCATGTCTTGCAAGATTTTGTTCGCATGTTGCATTTTACAATCTGCAAAGAAAACCGGAGCATAACGATAATCACTCAACCATATTGGACATAAATTAAATTCTATTCTGAATCTTAATCTGTCAAAAAAAATATTGAACGGTAATGAATAACTACTGGCTCCCCTACAGCTTTAAAACATTTAGTTCAACTGCAATCCATTATTTTGAACAATTAGTTATTCAATTTCGTTTTGTTTTATGACAATAAAAGATGGACCTTGTGCTGAATATTCCCACTAGAGTCTATATTTTATCAAGAGTTGTGAAAAAGATTTAGGATCATGTTTACTCAAACATATGTAATCATAATTATGTGCTACTCAGAAACATTGATCCAGGGCTTAACTTAATTCAAAGGTTACCAGTGGCTTTGGGAAGGAACTCATCCATACATTAATTTAAACAGATTAGTAGTGTCTCTGAAAGACTTTCACTTTAAAGAGTACATATCCAGGGATCACACCTATTGATTTTCCACTTACTTATGCATACCATCATGTGTGTTTAATTACCAAATGAAGGTTACCTTAACAAAAGCATGTCACCCTTACCGTATTCATAAAGTCGCCTTTACATTTCCCCGAAGTTCCGTAAGCATATGTGTAGGGCCTTCCATTGACTCTACTGTTTATGCATGGCATATCGATCCCTGTATTGGAGAATGAAAGAAGAGAGATGTCATTAACCTCTGCGATCAGATGTTTCGACTTTGTCCAGACGACAAAGGCCGAATTAGGTGAGATAAGTACTGAAAGATCAACATGTGTTTTGCTGGTCGATGTCTTCAAGAAAAACTAGATCGAGCGAAGGCAAATAAGAACCACTTATAATTATGTGCGGTTAGGTTGTCGCACAATGATCATAAACCATGTGCGATCGCAATAACTTTCGAAATATCAACTGCGTCAATTTCCTTGTCCATCATCACTTCACACGTGCGAACATTATGATGGCATCTTACATATTAATCAGAAATGAATTATATGGGATATACAATCATGATAATTGGGGATTAAATTGATATTTTGAAAGTCTTCAGTGAGATGATGTCATAGTATAGCACACATCTTAGTGATTACTATTCTAAAAGAACACTTAATATCTTTCAGATAATGCATCTGGATGATCTAGTGACTTCTCGTTGCATGTTAAAGGCTTTATTTAACCCTTACTGTACTGGGCTATTTTGAGCACCCACTGACTGGGGGGGGGGGGGGGGGGTGCCTGGGAGGCCCCCCCCCCCTATGATCTCGGCCGTCGATTGTCCGATGAACACGAAAATTTGCATGTTTGTAGATATTTACGTAAGGAACAAGATGGTATAATTAGTTTTTTCCGAATATGCAAATTTTTGTCGTTAGCCTAATTAATTATGCAAAATGCGCTAATTTTATGCATTTTACCGAAAACGTGTCAAACTCCACTTTTTGATTGTTGAAACTCATTATTCATATGAAACTTCTTTTCTAACACAAAAAAGTTATTTTAATGTAATTAATAATGATAATTTATGCAAATTTTGATGCGATTTTCACTTTTTTTTTTTTTTTTTTGATGACATGCGCATACTAATTGTTATGTAACTCCTTACAGGTATATCCGATTTCGACGAAAATGGTATCAAAATGTGCGTAAGACTTGAGGAAAAATAGTCATGAAACGACAATTCAAAATTCCAAGCGGTTTCGGCGCAATCTCCGAAAATGTCGAGGGGGGGGGGGGGGGCCTCCCAGGCCCCCCCCCCCCAGTACAGTAAGGGTTAAGGTAAAAATTATAACGTCCTCCATTATCATTATTTTTAATCTTCTCATGCAGGAACAGCTGAACACACCCTCATGTTGTAATAAATAAAGCTTCTCACCAATATCTGAGGCGACTTCATAGGTGAGTTCTACAACGCCGTCAGGCCGAAGTTGTGCAGAAGCTGATGTATAATTTAGAGTTACGAGGTTTGTGCCAACAGGTGTGTTCTAAGAAAGCAAAAAGGTGGAAAAAAGAGAACAATTGATAAATCATGATAGGGATAGCAGGATAAAATAGTTACAGGAATATTTTATCATTTTCGAACGAAAACGTGATGAACCCAATGTTCTGCAAATAACGAAAAAAGGTGAGGAAGAGAAAGTTATATAGCTCTAGAGAGATTGAGATCGAGGGAGAAGAGAGAAAGAAACGGAAAATATGAACTATTCCTTTAACTCTAGGCCTACTGCTTCTTACTACGTAATATGAATGATAAAATACTCGTTTTTTTCAGTTCTTAAACATATTGGAAAGTAGAAAAAAAATCAATGACGGAAAATACAATTTTAAGAATTACATGAAGTAAAATTGATTAGGTTTTGGAAAAATCTTTGTCTTGAAATTCAGGGGATCATTAGCTTAATTCTCCATCGATCTGTATAGCCAGCAAACAGGGGTCGTCTGGGTATGTAATCGGTTCTTTTATGTCAAAAGTGAATGCAAGGCCGATAATGCACTATAAGGAAGGACGCGCACTTACAAAAGATCAATTAATAACATGTTTAGACACGATCCTAAGGAGAACTCAATTATCTGGTTCTCATCAAAACTACCCGAAAACTGTCTGGGATTGAATGGTTTGGTCGAAGATGCTTATGTTAACTTTTCTCTTGTGCTATCTAATTGATAGCGTGGAAATGAGAGCTAAGATAATGGGGATGGCCAGGTGCCATGTTCATTTTGAAAAGAAGTCCGATGAACCCGACCGTTCGAAGAGAATGTCCCTCACGCGAGCGGTGGATCGAACCGTCTGGCCTTATTACCCGCATGGTATTCAGATTTGACAGGCCCCTTTCATCTCGGACAATACCCCCGAGTAAATTCCTTCCGATAATTGGCGGTCCTCGTGTTTGTGTCGGTAATCCTAGGTATTGTAGTTTGGATTCCTTCCGGTAATTGTTGATGCTCATTTACACAATAATCGGAATGTATCGATTCGCCTTGTTCGCGGTGGTCGCCGATGAGCGCAGGGGGTGGGGACAGGAACATGTGTTAAGGTCCATGATGTAACGGTACTGGTAATACCCCGGTCAGACCGACGGGACAGACCAACGCCAGATTACAGACCGAACATAATTAGAAATACCCCCAAAGGGTCAAGAACCGTTCGATTTCAAGTTTTGAAGTCAATCCGGCGGTGTGACCGAGGTATAATTAGTGTCTATTTGATGACCATCTTTGGCAGAACTATAGTGCCCATTGCACACTTGGCGTCATTTCGATTGCGTTATTATAAAACCCGTGCTATTCAAGCCTGAAAAGGCAGTTTGCCCAGTGGCCTATAATTCAAAACTTTTTGTTTACCCCCTCTTGATTTTGCAGTCAAAGTTTGTACAATATATAATCCTTATATGACCACATGGTACGTCAAAGACCATAAAGACCGCGCCAGCCTCTGACGCAGACCGACGTCATGACTGACGCCCCTTGTGCAACGTCATCTTAGAGATTAGACCAACTGGCGAATCTAAACTAATATCTTATATACGCTTTATTTATAACTATAAGTAGTAAAAAGGACTGGTTTGACAAACCGGGGATCGGCAGGGGGTCTTTTTATTTTTTCCACCAGACCCCTGATTAGGTAACCCTATTCAAACCTACCAAGAATATCCGCCCCTTCCTGTGTATTGATCGCCAAAACAATCCATACAACGGAAACGATTTAGAGGCGGGTATTGAAATATTGAAAAGGATTACTCAACAGATTGACTTAAATCGTCGCTTTCTTATTTAAACGCCCTTTTGTTCCATTCACAGAATGCTTACATTAGTGATCATGCACCATTGATAGTGCGTGAGGTTATTGAAGGACTTGGATAATAGAAGGAAATGATGTTCTATAGCTGCGATAACACCGTGCAATGCACGAATTCCCCAGCTTAAATGATACGATTTTTCTTTAACATATTCACACTATGTTACTTTATAAACGTGCATTTTACGCCGAGTGGAATTAGGGAGCGCGGCAAATATCAAACGAAAAATTCAGATTTTAAATTGTTGAATTTAACGACGGAAAAGCAAATATCATAAGAATGTATTATTATTTTTTGATTGGTATTTACCGACTGAATATCGGCATAAGGAAATGTTTTTTGTGTGGGTCAGTCTTTTGTCGTTTTTTGGTCTCATCGGTATTGCTAGGATAAAAACCATGAAACGACTTGGATGGATGAAAAAGTTGAAATTTACCTTATTTATTCTAAGAGGTAAGACGAATCTCCTGACTTCTGTGATTGGAAAATGTCGCTTGCCGTCCTGGTCTCCATGCCTAAGGTAGTCAAGGTAGAATTTCTTGAGAAGCTCATCGTCATCGTACGAACAGATATCAAACACCACATGCCCGTCCTCTTCGTAGGAGTTGATCACGTGCATGCCAAAGAGCGGACCCGTCTCGTACCTCGTGGTCATCTGCCGTCCCGTCTGCTTTTCGACGAGATGAAAGAGCGTCGTTCCGTTATGGTCGAACTCGAAACACGACGACACCGGCTTGCCCAGTATCTGCGAGGAGGCGAGTTTGGCGACGTTGATGTGGAGGGTCTGCTCGGAGAAAACGATGTAGTTGTCGGTCATACCGAAGCTGTGAAAGTACGAGGGTTTTAGAGGGTTCCGTGCTCGGATGCTGCAAAGCAGTTTAGCCGACATCGAAGGACTGCTCGTGTCTGTACTCGACTCGCTGGTTGACGTCGTGCTGCTTTCTAATGACGGTGACGATGGTGACGATGACGATGCTAAAAGAACAGAAATATGTATACATATCATGTTAAATCCGATCTGATTTCTCTCACAAAAAGTAATACATGTAATTAGTGACTTAAATTGAACGTTTATAAGGGGTATCAAATACAAATTCATTTGATTATTCTCTATCATTTTGGGACATTTCTTTAGAACAAACGCCAACCATGAAATAAGTTCCAAAATACTGATTTAGTATATCGCATAAGATTGATGAGCTATGAATAATAGTATTACGCATAATCAATATTTAACTGTGAGACTGTAGCCATATGTATATCATGATACCCTGAAATAGTCTGAAGTCTGCCAAAGATTGCAAATGTGGGAGATATGGCGTCTATAGAGCTAGTCATTTAATCCTCCAGATATGTCCATAAAGTACATTCAAACCCCCTGGCCAGGAATAAAGAAACACGTGGTCATTGTGGATGCATGACTCAGACCATCGATGACCATATGGGAATTGAGAGCATGACGAGACCGGTGTCTCCACGTCGATTATGTAATACTCAGCCCACCCCCACACCCCTGGGAAATCTCTCCTATGGTACGCTGTTCATAGGGGGCACCGGTACACCCAATACTAACGTGCATCCCCCAAGTGTTAATCAAACAGGTGGTGGACACTGGCTTCGGAAGGGTCTTCCCCCGTATTTCTGAGGCACTTCCGTCTCATCCTTACCCACGCAGAGAGGCCCAATTTACCAAAATGTATCTATACGGAGTCTCTTTCTTCGCATAAAAAATGAATTATACTTTTTACCAGAAACATTTTAAAACTTCTTTGTCTATCAATGAATGCATAAGCCATCTACACCTAGATGTATTCAGTGATAGATTGATGAAAGTCATCACCTCGATCGCTATAATAACTAATCACATCGCTACTGGCGATATATCATGTTAATGATTATTTGAGAAAGTCCAAGAAAACAAAGCTTACATGTATATTACCCCCTCCTTCTCTCAGGAAGCGTTTTGTTTTCGATTCAAGCTCTTACAGACGAAACTGATCCAGAATATTAATACAAAAGCATACAATAATCTCGTTCTAAAACATATCGAGAAAAGTAGCATACCCCATTTCACTTTCCTTTTTACACATTCTATAATTTTCATTTTGCTACTTTCATGAAGATAGCCCTTCCACGAAGTAACTGTACACTTGAATCAAAGACAATATTCAGCGATAACAATTTATCTCCTCGAAATAGACATACGGGCGCGACTCCAGGACCGTCGGAGAGATAAAGAAGACAAAAGGCGGAATTGAAATAAATAGCTTCATTTTTTTTTGGTACCAGTGGCAGAGGTTAAGTTGATTGATTTTCTCATGGCGACGCCATGCTGTGCTAGGGGAGGCCTCTGCGAACTTCACCAGCATATCAGTCAAGAAAAAGTGTGGCTGAGAGATACTGCCATCTTCATTTTGTGAAGAAAATGTCTTCCTCTGACAAAAGGGGAATCTGGCTCTCTTAAAGGACGAAAGCATCACACGATTAAACCCGTTGTGTCTATTATATTTGTATGCAATTGTCATTAATGTTCGCATCTCTATAAAGGCAACCTGTTCATAGTAGTCCCCCAAAATGCTTCCCTCGAGAGGTAAATGTGTGTTGAAAGAGCCTCTCTAGAAAGGCCACCTGTTTACATTGGCCACTTTTTGTGCTTCCATTGGGTGGCGTTAATATATAGATTTGACTGCACTGATAATCATAGGCGTAAGGGCCCATTCTTGTCATTTTATCTCTTGTGGGAAGAATATCATCTTTCCAGTTTTTAAACATTGCGAGTGACAAGATAAGATATGAAGACACACGTAGACCACCACATGAGGTGGCGGTTGCCTGAATATAGGTAATTTTAATGAATCTAACAATAAGGGGTGAGGCTGAGGGAAGCTGCAGCCCCCCTCAGCGCCCCTCTCCTCCACATCGCATGTCTATATAGATGTTATCACCTACCTGAATGCGATTTAGGGAAGAACTTGATGATGTTGTAGAAGCAGCCGGTGAGGTAAGATGTTCCCATGTTATACGAGCACCCGTCCCTGTCCACCTGAGCATGCGCAGACGCTGTCATCATACCGAACATCTTTAACAGATCGATCTGTCATGAAGAGAAAGATAAAAATGAACTTCAATTTTGTCACTTAGATGTCAAGAGATGACAAAAGTCTTCTGTTTCATTTCTATTTTCAAGAGAATTTGTGGAAATATTTAACATCTTGCAGACTAGCATGAGTTGGGAAAACAACAACTAATCATTAAGTTAACACCTGTATTGCGATAAAAAATTCTTTGAGGGAGAGCCCAATGCCTCGTTTGGTGACAAGGTCAATGTTCTATTTCTCACTCTCATTATCCTTCGGCAGATAATCAGAAGCTTGTAAATTTGAGTGAATGACTCAGTGGGGCGCCACCTACCGTTTGGTCCTCCGTGCTTAGGTCTTGTAGGTTGATCTTCCTCGGTGTGTGCGTCTCTGTCGCCGTGTATACCTCATCCCCAAGTTGATACATGTTTATTAAATTATTGTCTGTAACATTAAGCGGTAGAAAATGGGTGGCAAAGCGCTCGAGGACGTTCTTGCAGGGGTCCGGTATTCCTACTGTGCCAAACTCTGAGAGGATGATTTTGTTGTATTTCATCGCCTTCTTGTACGCGTTGCTTCGGAGGAACCTATTCTGGTAGCTCACTTTGCCGTTATGGAAAGCAAACTTGTGCATGAGGGCTAGACCATCGAACCAGTGCTTGTATTCTGTGTCCCCTACTTCGAATAGACCTGGACCAATCCGCACCAGGGACCCCCGGAGCCAGCCAGGGAGTTTGCCTGCGAAGATACAAACAAAAACAATAAGATATGTTATGTCAGTCATAGAAGAATCGATAAAAGCTCCAGAGATATTAGCGTCTTTTCGTCAAAGGTATAGTGTAAGACCCAGAGTTGCAATTGGGTTCTAGGTGAGGTTTCAGGTTAGGGTAAGGGCCAGATGGTTAGTGTTCAGGGTCTAGGTTCAGTTTACTTTATCTGTGGGTAGCTTAGAATAGTCTCTGAAGCAAATTAACAGTGGCCTACATGTCAGAGATATATTACATAAGCTTATCAAGATGAAAGATGAGAATCTGATGATACTATGGGACAAGCGATACACCACAGTCACATTGACAAGACGGGCACGAGAACGTCAACTGACCGAACAAATTTTTACATTTACATGGCCAGGGTCGGTTGGTTTGGAGTCGGCGGTGTGACTGAGGGTTGGTTGTACCATGATAACGCCTCATTCAAGACCCAATTCTAGGTAAAGGTGGACTCCGAGGAGGTGTCTTCTGACAATTGAATATGAAGTACTCCTATTACCATGTAATGAATGGAATAGATAAGAATAACACGGCATGCGGGGGATTGTAGCAAGGTGGTGTTCTATTTGACGACCTCTGGTTACCAAAGTGGCGTATTTTAATAAATGAAATTAGGTGATCACAACAGTGCAAGAATGACAGGCTTACAGAACTTGTATTAGAGAGAAAGAGAGAGGAGAGCAAGAGAGAGAGAGAGAGAGAGAGAGGACGAGAAGGGGGGGGGCTGAGGGAGACGCATCGAGTTGTATTTAACTTTCAAGACAGTGAAAAATCCATATCTATGATGTGAACTCGAAGCTTTGTGTCTTAGTTTCGTTATCAATTTTCTTTGTCATACTCATAGCCAATAATAAGGGGTTCTTATCAACGGGTTATTTGACCAATCAGAACAATAAGAATAGGACCCTTAATATTCTGTACCGGTAATGGAAACATCTTCTTCGCTCATTTTGCGGAGGCATATTTTTTGATCAGCTCCACTGCGCAGGGGACATCAGGAGTCAAGGCTAAAGAGTGTTTAATCATAGACAGGGAATGAGTTTCTGGACCCACAGCGTAGACTGCTATTGTCAAGGTTAGTCCGGCTAGGCCAGACAGTCTTTACCAACTCAATGTATTCGATACTAATATGAAACACATTTCTTAAACATTTCTTTAAAAAGAAATAGACCATGCAGTCGAGCGATACATCGTAGAGTAAAGTCTCATTTTAAAGGGACTAGTAACGATCCTGACAAGGAAATCTTATCTTGTTTGAAAGTAAGTGCATTGTTTTAATAATCAACTAGTTATAACATGTCTGCACCGTATACCTGCTGATTCGTTTTCGCCTACGATTGTACATTACAGTGACTTCATCATGGGATCCACTAATCCCAGTCTATTATCTATGCCGCCTAACGAGATTATGCGACAGGCGTTAGTCTCCTATTTAGCAGACGGCTGAAGGTCTGAAAGTTCTGTCCCGATTCACCTCCGCGCAAGAGAGAAAATAAAAAAAACGGTTAAACCTCATGTGATCTGTCAGAAGTAGTTAGTATTCAAGCCACCGGTAACATGGTTTCAAATTTGTCATGTTACTTCGCCTGATTGTTTTGTCACATAATAATCCCATAAAATTCGCCGCGGGATCTATTTTGGATGAAGGTGAGCAATATCTACACAGCCCCCGTCTCCCCCCTCACTCGTGGGGTACCCAGTCTATAGGGGTATACAGTAACTTTTTCGTTACCAACATCTATTTTTGAAAGTTTGTATAATATTTCGTTGTATTTAGAACAGCTTAATCAACCAACAATGTCGATAAACCCGTGATCAAGTGATTGGGTTCCCGCTTTCACTCAAACTTCCACGCCCAACTTTTGAAAGAAAACCTGATGCATTTAAGGACCAGATATTGGTCGCAAAATAAGAAACAAAGTCTCGACAAGAGCCATAGGCTTGGGACCACTCACGAGGTTGTAAGGAAATTCCTAATCATTTAAATCGGACAAACAGCTCAGAAATCGGTTCTAATTTTGCGTCTCGGGTAGCGTCCCACCTGCAGTCTATTAAGAAAACTAGGACAAGTGCTTACCCCCAAAACAATTTCCCCCACCTTTAGACATAACATTGAATATGGCCCTCTACGGTAAGAATATATTCCATATTTTATCCATTTCTCGTCCGTCTCAACTATTGTATTCTTTACCCTTTCTTTACTCTGTGAAATCTGGTCAAATTAATAACGACGATCCACAACATACGGACAAAACAACACCGCTAATTTAAAGAAGGAGTAACAGGGGCGTGTCAACCGATAAAAGACGCGGGAAGACAAAGAACAGGATAAGGTGGCGAAAAATTAATAAGAATGGTCACGAAGAAAACGAAAACACGTGACATGGCTCTCAAGGGTATTGGCGAGTATACCCAAGCTGACAAAATATACCTTTCAAAGTAGAACTCGTACTTTTTTGCGGTTTCTGATCACGGCGGGACCTATTCTCTTCGAGTACCACCAAAAACCACAAGAGGTCTTCGAGAGGAGAGAAAGGGAAGGAAATAAAGTCAAGATATCGCATGGATAATCCCTGCTATAATCATATCAAAAAATCGAAGACAAACAACTGTACTTCGTCGACAAAATCGAGAAATGCCTAAAAAGTGAAAGCTAACATTTTCACCTTCAGATAACACCTCATTACATTACCTTATTCATCCATTATATTGTGTTCATACTATTAATGGACCCTCATCTGACTTTGTATGTCTATTGATAATTGTGATTAAAAGAAATCGTCCTCATTTTTGGACACATTTCTTGCAAGGACTGTAATACAGAGATATTATAACTCCATCAGTGACTCGTTACTTCAAACCTTACAGCTTTAAAATAATACCGGCAGTGATATGCATGGATGTTGTTTGAGATGTTTCGGAAACTAGAAAGAGGAAGAGTTCACTAATTGTATCAGGTAGAGCAGACAGACATGTCGGGTAATTAACAGACACGAAACAGCTCTCCTCCATCAAAATAGCGCCAAAAGTAAGAAATTAAACGAGCATACAGGGACCGTCCTGTTAATCCAATTGTCGTCTGCCCCCTGATTGAAAAATCTAGTGCCGAATGTCTCTCCTTCTTTAAAAATAGTTTCTTTCTGAAAAACTACGTCACGCTTTTGACTGTTAATGATTTGAGGAACTTCACGCAAGGCATTTCCGAGATAATTATGTTCTCTCGTGCTTGCGGTCAGTGCTGGAGTCGTAAGGAGGTTGTTCGGGTATATAACTGTCTTCAAGTAGACGACATCGTCTAATCAGAATGGCGGGATTGATACCCGTAAGGAATCACTCGAAAAAAACAACAGGGACACGAATTCCGACTCAATGGCACGGCGGAACTATTATATTTAGTTGGTAATCATCGCACAGTTCGAGGTCTGGAAATAATTGATTAGAATTAGGTTATAATTAGGATTTTAGACACTAATTGGGGGTACAGTATTATCATTATGCGGTAACAACATTTTCGAATTAGACTATTAAGGCCTTTTACAACATGATAGAGCCGCCAAGTATCGACTCCAGTGCATTTTCCATGTATGAAAAAGACGTTTAAACCAAATTTCTTGTTTGCTAACCGGTATAATTATGACGTGATGTATCTATCCAATCGAACATACAGCTGATCTTCTCTGAAATAACTTTCAATTGTGCCTGTTTCCTTTCTCGTCTGGGCTTCATTAAAAAAAAGGATTTGCCATTCACACTGATACAAATCATGGCAACCCATTATTTTCACCTGTGTAATTATTCAGTTTCCAATTTGCTGTTTTCCTAAACGGGAACTCACGGAATCCTTCTAAGTACCGCCTCGGTCTGGACCGCTCACCTTTTCATAAGCGAATTATTTCGGGCAATGCACTACATGTTTTATGAAATTTGTAACAAGGTCATACCTGATTTTCTAAGTCGATTTGACCTTTCACTCGTCAATTTGACCATAATCCTTCCTACCTTGGTCTAACAGACTCACTCAACGCACAATTTCCTAACCTACCATTTGTATCAGGTTCTACGTTAAACCGCCTGCGAATATATAGGCCACACCGCAAACTTATAAGCTATTCGCTTCCCGAGCATGACCGAATCGTTTACGAATGCTTCCGCAACGGTTTTCTAGGTCACTCAGATGTTCTTTCGTCATAATAGCAATATGGGAAAACACAACACAGGATATTTTGATTACTTCGGCTCTTCGGGTCAATTCGTAAGGATTCGGAAGACAGATGGTCAGGAAAGAATGCCTTTGTTTTCCTCGACTTTTTATCTTCGTCATCTCAGGTCACTTCGTCATTCTTCGGGAAAACACAAAAAAGAGAGGTGAAGGAAGTTTGGTCTACTTTCGGCGGCATTCGGGTCATTTCGTCATAATTCACAAGCAGCGGCAAGCTGGAATTAAAATTAATCCCGAACGGTCAATGTTGTGTCTCAAGGATGTATTCGTCATAGTGGTTATGTCTAGCGTTTATGATTTCTTAACCACAAGCCCATCTCGCAGGCCACATCTTTGTCCTCGATTGACCACTCCACTAGAGCACGAACAAAAATCGCCAATTTGAACTATTACTTGAATAGAATCATTCTTGCCTCTTTGCGGTTATCAATCACGGGTCGACGAACAACCAGTGTTTTACAAACGAGACATACAGACAAGAATACGAGCATGAAGGTTTTTTGTATATGGTTCGGACCGCAATCACAGCACTGTACTACCGCAAAACTCAAAGTAGTTCAGACACCCAGACCTTGGTCGTCCCTGATGTCGTTGTTATCCCCCTACGGGTGTTCTCTTTTACAGAGTGTCCCCAGACAGCCCCTTTCTATCACCCTTTATTCTCTAGAGTGACCAGTAGCCGCAAGCAGGGGTACCTTTTCGCTTACCCCCAAAGACGTGTTGAATAGGTACGATTACACATGTCACCA